GAGNTGGTCCTCACATAAGGAGATACCAACCGCAACTCAACAGAGATACAAGTGTTTATTTATCACATGTCTATGACCCTTTAGTTAAATAACCCCACCCCAAATTTTGTATTTAGATTGTCACCGGCATCTTACTAGTCAAGTTTTTTATGTTTTATTTATCATCACATTGTACGATTATAATCACCACCACCCCACCATTATAATCAGGAAGTAATTTACTACATCCCTTTAATAGTTTCTCTAATCACACACCCTTGTGATTACCCCTACATAATTGATTAATGTATTCCTATTGTTTTAATCCTTGTTATTGTTGCCCCACACTATATATCCTGAATGAGTTGTTGTTTTGTATCATTGCTTGATAAAGACGAAAGAATCATCGTCGAAACGTCGCAAGTTATTTATTAAAGTAATTGTTATCCATATAGTTGTGTTCGTGTTAGTACCTTTATATCTGTATAGTACGTCTAGTTAAATTACCCTTATATCTGTATAATACGTCTAGTTAAATTACCCTTATATCTGTATAATACGTCTAGTTAAATTACCTTTATATCTGTATAATACGTCTAGTTAAATTACCTTTATATCTGTATAGTACGTCTAGTTAAATTACCTTTATATCTGTATAGTACGTCTAGTTAAATTACCCTTTATATCTGTATAATACGTCTAGTTAAATTACCTTTATAATTACCTTTTTTAATTTTAACACGTGATACTGTCGGCTGACATTTAGCTCTATAAACTGCTGAAGCTCTCTACCTATTTCTTAAGCGACATAACCCTAAGATTTTCTGATAAAGGTAGAGATCACATGAAATAACGGAACAAAAATTTATGGTATACTACTCTGTTTTTATAGTCTTGATGATGACAATGTAGGCCTAGATTGTTGAAAGATTGTGTACATTCAAGCCGTTATTTAAAGCCTTAGTTCCTTTTCCATATGGAAATTTCGACAAGCCTATCGGACAGTTTGACTATGAGCTGTAATCAGATCTCAAGATATAAAGCCCGCTGAGTAATTCAAGTAGTCACTTCACCAACAGATGTCTGAAACAGAAAATCTGGTGAAGCCAATCATTATAAAACTATTCAAACACTAGAAAACCACTCTAATCAGACTTATTCCCTTTTAAGTCAATCTTTATAAATTAAACTACAATTTTCTTTCTTCTTTGTTTTCTGATTTTTTCGTATTCATTTAAATCTGACCAGTTTTCTACAACAGTACCGTTCCAATGACGTTATTTTCAACGGATCAAAGCGTGTCATTTGGAACAAGTTTCTTCATTTAACAAAATTGAAATGTGTGATAGCGAAACTCAGAGAAGCATTCGGCAATCCTCGACAGTTTCCGTTAAGCTGAATCTGTTACAGAGTGATAGGAGAATTTTCAAGGTAAACCATTTGCCAAAGATATTGTCCTATTGCTGTAGTTTGGATTTCGCATTCCCACAATTCGTGTATATGTCCAGTGTTAAGATTTCTTTTTGTTCGTATTGCTTTCACATCCCGAATACCTGAGAGTAATATGGGAAGCTAGAGAATACATCTCAAGCGATTTTGGAAAGTGTAGATGGACAAGGAGCAGTTTTCTGTGTCAGAATGTTAATTTGTCTGAAATAGTTCATTGATTTAAATTCAAAGATTAAATTCAATTTATTCCAGAAATTGTTCAATCCCTTGACAGTTGTAATCACGAAAGAGTAGATTATAGTGCTGATGTCTTGCCAAAATTTACCATTGACCATTATTCTTCACCTGACCAAGTGCCATGAAACACACATTTGACAACAACTCGGCAGATTTTTCAAGTTCTAATTTGTCTCATTATATCTTGTAATTTTCAAAATAACCTATAATTATGTGAACCTATGATATTATTCTAATATTATTCTACAATGCCACAAATATCAGCTAATGAAGTTTCATAAGCAGAAAGATACAATGGGATATTGAAACTGGGTTTAGGACCAGACATACAAGGTTGATTTTCATGGCAGTTGCTACGACTCACTTTAGATTCGCTAGTTTTTGAGAAATCTCAGCAAGAAAAAAACCTAATTTGGCAGAACTTTTAGTGTACTGAGACGATCGAGATATTGGCAAATATTCTGTGATGTCCTTGTGACCCACACGGTACCACAATACAGCCAAAGGGTCGTTGTGGAGTTCTAAAAAACTAGCCATCAAAAAATGGTTGGAGCAACTCCTATGAACATTGACATTATATGTCTCGCCCTAAACCCAGTTACGATATCACATCTGAATATCACGTCGGAGGAACTGGATAGGGTCAGATTTGTCGGCCCAGTTGAATAGTAGAAGAATTTTGATGATATGGCCAAGATGGTAATTGAACTTATTGTTAGCTCTTGGCCTACTAATGTAGAAGAAGAAGCAAGAATTTTGTATATTTTTCATTTTCACTGGTTCTAAATGACTGTTGTTGCCAGAGCCGTATATAGAGAGAGTCTGGCCAACATGTGATCTCGCCGCGCTGAACCATGATTGGCGCAGAGCGATCACGTGATTGAAGGCCGCCATATTGTTACCCTTCCCGCGACGTTTAGGCGTAGAAGCCTGGGTATTCTTTACGTTGTTTAAGCCTAATTCCTGGTCTTGTTTGGCAACAGAATGCCTCGATGTGTGGCATAGAAATGCTCTGTCAAATCTGGAGAAGTTATAGTGATGCACAGGTTCCCTAAGGATAAAAGGAGACGCAGAGAATGGGAAGTAAAGGTCAAACGATCCGACTGGACTCCCCACGACAACTCTTTTCTATGCGATGTAAGTACATTCGATGATTTCAGGGGTTTTGTAAATTGTGTTATGTTCAGGTCTAAAAACTGGATATAATAGATATGGAAACCTTGTGAGAGGGTTTCTTTCCACGCACTGGCTATCTAAGCCTAGGCCTAGACGAGGAGCATGCACTATGTCTATGGCTTCTGAGACACTGTCAACAACATTTCTGATAGGCCTACACTTAATCGATCTATTTATGTTTTTCTATAAATGTGAAATTCTAAGACTATTTACTTATTTAGTATTTAGTATTATTTACTTCCAATCACCAAAACAAACAGTATAATTTAAAGGTGTGCGCCATATTGGTGCTTGTACGGTGAGGCAAGGGCCATGGCTCCTAATATTTGTGCTGGTCCTG